TGGAGGTATGAGTTCATCACTAAATCTTAACATGTTGAGATCTAAAGAATAAATTTTTTGAGCACCCTTAAATTATCAAACCCCCTCCCCATCCCACTCCTCAAGGGATGTGTGGATTCAGAGAAATCAAGGCCGAGCTAAGAACATTCAGTGGAGCTCATATCCCAAGAGCTGCTCTTTATTCAGCCTTCCCTGAGGGCTGATACTGAAGGAACCTCACCCATCTGCAAGGTGACTACCAGCTGCCATCCATGGTCACCAGACCCTACAGTGACAAAAGTTGTTGTTTTACTTGACAGTGGATTCTGCCTATACTGGGACTGATTCAGTCTCAAGCTAGAAAGGAGAGAGGCCATGATCCTGAAAGAAAATGCCTGTAAACTGATAAGAATCTTGTTGATGGCAAAAGCTGAATATAAACTCACAAGACTTTATGGATTTTTCTTTGGACTTCCAGTTGTACTCTGAAGTTTCCTATGAAGGTTTCAGATAAAATGAAATTGTCACATTCACGTAAAAATATATCCTCTCATTTCTGCTTCTATCAATCATGTAAAGAGGCCCCCAAAATCTCTGTAAGAAATCTGAATAAAAGTGACCATGAAGGATATAATAAGATTATGAACACAAATAGAACCTCTACAAATGGATTGATGGAAATATCTGAAAAAATTAACACAGATGTTATCCAAGTCTTTTGGTGACTTGGAAATGGAGTCAATGGTGTGGGCCATTCATCTCGATTTGTCTTTGGCCTTTTGTCCAAAGCTACAGTAAAGAGATTTTTCTGGCAAAAATCAGAAGTTATCAAGGGCTTCTGCTTTTATTAAATTATATTTTATTCCCAGCTCCATGCTTTCTTTCTGAAATAATTTTTATGTCTACTTTGGATTAATTCAGCAGCATTTATAAACAAGTATCTTTTAATAGCTGCTGCTCTTTCCTTAGCATTCAAACAATTCAAAGAGAGCATAATAACATACAGTATCAAGATTCTCTGTATATTTTTCATCATTACATGGCTTTATTTTATCCTCTATTTCTTTTATTTTTACTTTTAATTTTTGGCTTTTTGAGATAGGTTCTCTGTGTATCTTTGGCTGTCCTGGAACTCACTCTGTTGACCAGGCTGTCCTTGAATTCACAGAGATCTACCTGCCTCTGCCTCCCAAGTGCTGAGATTAAAGGCCTGTGCCACCACACCTTGAATTCACAGAGATATGTCTACCTCTGCCTCCCAAGCATTGGAATTAAAGGTGTGTGCCACCACACCCAACTACTCTCTTTTTTTTATTTTAAGGACTTTATTGTTTTTCTTTTCTCTCCCAAGCCTGCATATATTTTTAACACATTGTAAAACATTTAGAGGTTTTCTTCATCTTTGAATCTCTCTTTACTGTATATCTCTCTTTTTTTGACCATGTGAGTCTTTAATTTGCTAAGCAATATGGAGAGGATTAAAGCTATGGCTTTGATGGCTGGATCCAGACCATTCTTTAGCTTTCTGAGATTCCAGCCGCATGGCAGAGGTACTGGCCTGAGCCACATTTATTGACACAACTCTATGGTGTTTCAAGGTCCCTGCTACCACCAAAAAGCATGCTTTTCATCAACACCATTTAAGTGTTTCGTGGTAGGACCTCTAAAAAGAGCTGCAAAGTTTTACACCTAAAGCTGAGTCAGGAAGCCTCTCTTAAGTGAGACGCATTTGCCTCTAGTAAACAGAGCCACCTGAAAATGCTGCTATCAACAATCTGTGCTTAACTCTATTCTTTTTTATCTAGAATAACTTCCCAAGCTCTCTCAGGCTTTTAAGTAGATTTGGTCAGCCCCACATTGGCATGCCATTTGTTGTCTGAGGTTTCTGTCCTGCCCTGTTCCTGCAATTGTTAAGTCCCAAAGAAATCACACAGAGGTCTACATTAGTTATAAACTGATTGTCTCATTAGCTCAGGCTTCTTATTAACTCTTATAACTTATATTAACCCATTATTCTTGTCTATGCTAGCCACATGGCTTGGTACCTTTTTTGGCGAGGCAGTCACATCTTCCTTCTTCTGTGGCTGGGCCAGCACCGCAGAAGGAACTTCCTTCTTCCCAGAATTCTCCTGTTCTCCTTGACCTATCTCTACTTCCTGTCTGGTTGTCCTACCTATACTTCCTGCCTATACTTCCTGCCTGGCTACTGGCCAATCAGCATTTATTTAAAATATAATTGACAGGATACAGACCATTGTCCCACAGCAACCAGATGTGTTCTCTATTATTCTTCTATTCTTCTCAATTCTTGAATGTTTCATCATCTGGCACCCAGAGCAGGTGACTAGGCAACAGGAGACTCTGTGGGTGATCAGAAGGTGGGAAGACAGAGTGCAGATGTATCCAGTCTGCTGCCTCTCTGCCCACACTCTCCACTTCTGTTTATGGCCGAGTCTCTGTCTCTCACTCCAACAATTGCTCCCTTGGCCTGTGGCAACTCTCTTATCTCATGTGACCCTCTGCCCAAGATTGCCAAGAGCAGTCTACTGTTAATGCCTGGCTGGCTCAACAATCTCCCGTGGCTCCCTGCACTCCTCTTGATAGTTCTCAGGTAGTCCTTTTGCCAAAGTTTTTTATTTAAACTGAGTTAAATTCTGTTTCCTACCATAACCTTGCCTGATATACATAAAAAAATCACAAGTGTTACATTAAAACTTTTCAACATACTCCTTTAGTCTCAGCTATTTCTGCCTTACTACCAACTAGCCTGCAGAATGAACAAAGTTTTGACCTGCAACCCACCAAGTTTTCAATTTATGTGTTTATGAGAAAATCACTTTCTTCCCATCAACACACACTCCAGTTTCCTTACTAACTAAATGCACAGTTCACCTAAAACAGTGATGCTCAAAGTGGGGCCAGCAATCTCCAGGGGTTCACAATATCCTGTTAGGAATTCTCAAAGGCCAAGGCTATTTTCATAGCACTGAAGATTTGCTTATGTGCCTTATATTTCTACTTGATGACATTACTAATGGTACATAAGTAACAGTAGGTAACAGTAGACATCCAGGGTTCAAGACAGCACCACCAACTATGTTCCTGTTGAATTCTACCACACTTCAAAATCTGAGTAACATCTTTATTTAGGAATATTCTTAATCCAGTATTGATAATGCTAATTTTATAGTGCTGTTTTAGTTTCTGGAACTGTTACTAGCAAAAATGAGAACCAGACTTGAAGGCTTTTTGCTTTATACTGAGATATAAGGGCATCTTTAAGTTCTAAGAAGGGGAAGCTACCTGACTGAATTGTGATCTAGCCACTTCCCCAGTACTTCTAGTCAAAAGATTAACTGACAGGCAAAGTGTAACTATTAAGACTGAGACATCTGGAAAGATATTTTTTAAAAAATGAACAAAGTGAAACTATCTTTCCAAATAAGATAACTGAAAATATTTGTTCCCAATAATACATTTTGAACTTCAAAATAATACATTTGTACCTTCACAGTGTTTAAAGACTCATCTGATGAGGTCAGCCATGACATTAATAAGTCATATGTTGACAGATGGTCAAAGGTGTCAACACCCAAACAACTAACTCAGAGAGATACATCCAAAACCTTCTTCCTGGAACTAGAGAGATGGCTCCACAGTTACGAGCACTTACTGTTCTGCAGAGAACCTGGATCCAGTTCCCAACACCCACATGGTGACTACAGTCATCTGTAACTACAGTCCCAGAATATCTGGTCTCCATCTGCACTGCACACACATGATGCAAAATACATGTAGGCAAAACATCCATAAACATAAAATAAATAAGTCCTTTAAAAATAAAAACCTTCCTTCCTAACTGTGCGAGCTTCAGACAGGGTATCAGAAGCTGTTTAGTTGGTATCTGAGCTCCATTGTCTGAGCAGAGAGGAGAGTTTATTTCCTCATCTGTAAAGTGACCTTGCCCAGCTAAAAAGTAGTTAAATGAATAATATACAGATCAATAGTAATATATTCATAAATTAATACAGAGACTTCAAAGGAAGGACATGGTAAATGGCATGCAAATGTTTCCCACTGTTATCATTATTGTCACTTCTCTTTATGGGACTTTGGAACAACAATGGCTCTGGCAATAGAAGCTGCCAGACTCATATTCCAGCATAACTTACAAGCCTCTGACCTCGGCCAAGTGATTCAGTAATATGATCATGCATAGTAATATATCTGCATACAGTGATAAATGACCATAGGATTATCATGAGGGATAACAAAGATATTAGATGCTTAGTCTAGGACCTGATGCATTAGATTAATTCATTTACATTAATAAGTTGGAGTTTGATAAATCTTTCTTAAACTTTATAAAATCATCTCATGGGGCAGTCAAGATGACTTCAAGGGTAAAGGAACTTGTCACCAAACCTGATGACCTGAGTTGGATTCCCAGGACCCACATAGTAGAACAGCATAAACAATTTCCACAAGTTCTCCTTTGATCTCCACACACATACCACGGTGCGCGTGCACACACACACTAATAATCAGGTCACACACGATGACATCATAACTCCCAGGACTCACAGTCTGTATACTACTTCTGAGCAGTGATATTGAAAAAGATGCTCACGGAGGAGGTCAAAGGCTTATTTCTGTGGGGCGAATGCTGTCACCAGAGTCAGTTTCAGTCTGTGAGCATGAGGACACTGGAGACAGAGCTGGTGAGAAATTGTTCGTATCAGGTCACTCGGACACTACCCTTCTCAGAAGCCTTCTGTAGAAGACCAGTCACTGTGCCTCAGCTCAGGACTCTTCACCAAGAGGTGACAGATCACCAGAGTGGAGGAACCAAGGGCAACTAAGATGAAGTGTCTTCAGAAACACATTTTAAATGCACCTGTAAAACCAAGACAGCTCTCTCTGTACTTTGTTGGAGACGATTCTGTGGCATGCAACCATGAGAAGCAAAAACTGAGTTTAAAATACAATTCAAACATAAAATAAAAGGACACATTTTCCATAGTTCCGTTTATTAAAGGAAAGCATTTCCAATTGTGAAATTTGCTTTCAATTTTTGAAGAGTAAAACTAGCTTTTAAAAATGCCAGGTAGTTAAAATACCCCGGTTCAAAGTTGTTTTGTTTTTAACTAGGCAAGAAAGAGTACATGCTGAAAAGAGAGAAAGTATCACAAGGGGAATCACCTGTGACAACCTGTCACGTAAACATTGACATGATTCAACTTCTGCACCAGCACAGCTGCAGAAGTCAAAAAGAAAAAAGAAAGAAAGGAAGAAAGAGAGGGAGGGAGGGAAGGAGAGATGGAAGGAGGGAGGGAGGGAGGGAGGGAGGAAGATTAATTATTCCCGAGGCCCACCTCCTCTCCTCACTAATGAAGATTTCCCTTTCTATTTCATGTAAAAAAAAATAAATTACATATAAATAAGGAGGCGAGAAGAGCTAGTGTTCTGAGGAGTGTCCACTGTGTGCCTCTTTCTCCTACACAAAACTCTCCTCCATGTTGCTACACAACAGGAAGGAATCCACAAGCCGAGGCTGGACCAGCTGCTGGAAGTCAGCGTCCTGGAGGCCTTCTGGGCAGACCCCAGCCAACCGTCGCAGGGCAGCCTGGGGAGAAAGCAGAAAAGAAGATGCGGGTCACGCTGGGCCCCCACAGAGGAATGTGCTTCCTTCAGCTTCCCTGAAATGTGCTGTGTTAACAAGGCAATTGGAGCTGATTACCAGATGCTTGTCCCATGACACTTTAGTGGCCATTTTGGTCACCATTGTGCCCTCATCACCATATCACCTGGTTTCATTTGCACTTGAGCCGATGTGGCAGGGCATCATCTGGAAGCTCTTAATGATTTTAATAACAGTCCTACTGTCTCAGGTTTCTTTTGTTCCTAATCACTCTGGGAAACTGGGCATTTTGAAACTGTTGTTTTGCGGATCTGGTCAACTTAGTACTACATGTAAGTTCAAAATATGTTCTTCTCAGAGACTGGGACTTCCAGAAGGATCCATTGACTCAAGTTATTATCCTCTGATTCTCTGAGTAGTTTACAGAAACCAGGTTTCTTAGCTCACGCACAAACGCAGGAGTCCTTCACAGAGCACTAGGAGATGGGAAGGAAATGAAGGAAATGGAGTCCAGGTGGTTAAGGATGCTGTGGCTGAGAAACCCAAGTCAAAGAAGGGGGAGCAGCAGTGGAGGGCAGAACAAGGAACCAGCTCCCCTGCTCACCCCACCGATCCCTAGGCTCACTAGTGCTCCTGCGCAGGCACCTTGCATATGTGCTTCTGTGTGACACGTCCCTCCTTCACTGTGACACGTCCCTCCTTCTCTCCACTGTGACAGTCCCTCCTCTCCACTGTGACACGTCCCTCCTTCTCTCCACTGTGTAACACGTCCCTCCTTCTCTTTTCTATGACACATTCCTCCTTCTCTTCACTATGACATGCCCCTCCTTCTCTTTCAACAACACTCTCATCTCTCCAGTGAAGCCGTCCTTGGCTACCCTCTAACAAAGGACCAATCTGTGTCCCTCTCCCTCGGCACACACCCACAGCTCCTGTGCCCTCTCAAAGCCTTGTTCTCAGAGTCTCCTTTCTTGGGAGGGTTTAAGTCAGTCATCCCCAGATCTCATTTCCAGACACTCAAGTATAAAAACAATTGCCTACTGTCAGCTACTTTGCCATGGGAAAATCAATCCTGTTTGCCAGGGGCAATTCATGCTGCCATTTCCTCCACAAGGGAGATAGTAATTGAATCATCTTGTCCTCCCCACACCTGAGGGCAGTCATCAGACCAGAAGAAGGCCCTGGGAACAGAAAAGAAGCTCCCAACTCCATTGGCCTGGCTAGGCTCCATGCATCTCTCATCTTGCTGTCCAGAGGCATGCACCCCAATATTGGAGCCTTTAATAAGCCGAGCAAAGGACATCCACCAGAATCAGTGGCTATGGGATGGGAACAAGTCAACTAATTACAAAGTCATGCAAGATTTAGTATCCAAACTCAAGGTCATGTAAAAATACAAAGGCCTATACAAAGACTTTTGCCCTTAGAACATTCTAGAATCAGGGGAGACATATGAATCTTCCTCAAGTTAGAATAGTGAGACCAGTGCCATGAGAAAGTGGGAAAGAGAGAAAGAGAGCATGGCCAGAAACAAGAGGGTCTGTTCAACAGGCCTAGGCCTTCACAGAATTTCAAGAGTCTAGAACATGAATGATATGGATTATATCAAAAGGCAAGCAGGAAAACTGAGGAAATGCACTGTGCACTCCCTGCTTTTGTATCACAGAGGGCTCCTGGGAAACATCATTAGATGGGTATTTCGACCTGAGCCTCCAGGGCTGAACAACAGAGTTGTAGAGATGGTGTTTGTTGGTGTGTGCGGAAAAACAACACTTCCAGGCAGAGACGGACAAGAACTGGAAACTATAGGAGGCCTTCAGGCCCCAGTGTCAGGTCAGACCCACAGTAAGAAGGGCAGAGTTGGTGGACAGTAGGTGGGGCAAGTCGTGGAGAACACAGTCAATTCCACGCAAGTTGGATGAAAGCATCACAAGGCAAATTCTCACGGGAGAATTCACTCAGCATCTGCCTGGCGGCTGGGTTAGAATGGGGCTCTTCTCAACTCTCAAGAACAAACGTCATCCCTTTCTACTTAAAAGTTCTCTGGCTGAAGGTGCAGCCAAACTTCCTACGTTCTCTGGAGAAAAATGCCAGCAGTAATAGCAACAGGCCCTCACAGCTGAGGCAGCCTGTGGTTTCCCAAGTGCTCCCTACGCCCTTGACTTCACCTGTCAAGTCCTTCAGTCAGGCAGTTGCTGTGGCCAGAGCGATGAAGATTAGGGGAGTTGGGGTCAACCATTATGTGTTTGTCAGGCTATGAATTTCTCCCCATTTTGCTTGATAGGAAAATAGACTCAAGAAATTGGAGGAGAAAGGGTTCTATCTACTGATCCTCACTGAAACAGCATCTCTGGTTGTCACCATTGCTGATCTCTGGCCCTGCTCTATAACGGAGATCGCAGACCCCATTAAAGACATGGAAGGTGCCTTCAAATGGTATTTACTACCATGAGCAAGCGCAGTTTTAATATGCTATGTGCATAAATATTGAATAGTGGTTTTAACATAATTGGTGCCCTTTTAAAACTCCACATTAATTTTTTTATGCATTTAAAAATTATTTAGAAAATGGGAGAGGAACGTGTTGGGAATAAGTATTCCAGAGGGCATGGGAGGAAAGAAGGGGTTAATGGGGGTGAATATGCTTGAAATAAATTATATACTTGTATAAAATTGTCCAGAAAAGAGTCCGAGAAGAGGTTTAAAATCTTCACCAGACTTCCCAAGGCACAGGGGAGATAAGAACGTCCGGTATGCAGGAGAGCACTCTCCTATCTCCACAACTATAGCCCCAAAACCTAGGAGAGGAAGTGGCACATAAAACCATTCAACGAATAGTTACTAAATATGAGCTAGAGCACTTTGACCTGTTCAGTGACACACAGCTCACCAAAGTACAGCCAGCATGGGCCTGCTGATGGCAACGGCAGCTGACTTCTACAGCTTCACGGTGCCCATCTAGAACTCCTGGATATTAGCTGAGCTCAGTGAACACTGTGCAAAAGCAGGGCTCTGTGACGACTCAAGGTGAAGAAACCCTGAATTCACTGCTATTCCCATGTGCTCTTTTAGGGGCAAAGAGCTGGCTCTCTCTTCTACTGGCTGTTTCCCTATGATGCCACACTTCCAGCTGTCCTGTTACTCTGTGCTGGGGCTCACCACAGCCCCCCAGGGGCTCCTCACAGCCCCACAGGGAGATAAGTGTGAAGAGAGCATCCATTGCCCATCTGCTACTGTTGGTTAGTGCCCTAGTCCCCGGAAGTGAAAAGCTCCCAGGATGCACTTGCTGGGGTTCACAGAGATCTTAGGAGTTGGTTGAGTAACCCTCACTGTCCTGTCTTGCCCTCTCTGGTCATTTCCACAGCAGACAGTGCACCTAGTTGGCAAGAGGGCCCTGCAGGGTTTCCCCTGGGAGGAAAAGGAGACTTTCCTCATAATCTGTTCACTTTGGACAGATGGCTGTCTATTTCCTGGTCCCTGTGTTCTGGGGGCTGCATGACATCAACCCTACCACTCAACAGCCCTCCAGACCACCTCTCCAGTTTTAACAGACTCTTGCGAGTCCCTAGATCTAGAAGGTCACTGGGATTTTGGGGACTGGGTGGGGAGCAGCTTCTTTCTCCTCATCTTTTCCTTGAGCTTCATCACAATTTTATCAACTAATAGTAATAGAAAACATCAGCATTGCCATCTTAATTTGAAACCCAAAGCCTGGAGAAGGCTCAAGGCATACCCAACTCTGGCCGAACCAGCTGCCCTGACCTCAGTCTACCTTCCTGAGATCTTTGGGAAAAGCTGAGGGCAGCTGAGAACTCACCAGGCAGGCCACAAGCACAGCGTCGCTGCTGTTCCGCTCAGAGGGCGATCGGCAGAGCTCAATCAGGCGGGACATACCTGCACAAGACACAAGGAGAGCGTCACAACTGGCTTAGAGAAGCCAGGCCAGGCTGACCCAGAGGCGCTGGCCAGCTTCACCCACGGAACATGTTAGTACCAGTCTGCAGAGGGGCAGCTGAACCCACCTGGAGGAATACTTTCAGGAGAATTCCTACTTTCCGCTCAAGGGCAAGAAAAGTAGAGCATCCGAGCCAAACCCACAAGTGCCAGAGCGCTGGGCTGAGCTCCTCTTTGGTAAATGGTACAGGCGTGTTTTCCTTTTCTCTGAGCAAGGACTTGGGAGTATGTACTTCCAATTTTACCAACACAATATTTAACATTCGCACCTGTGCACTGGGACCTCACAACTGTGTATTCCTCCAACTGGCTATGTTAGTCAAAAAATAGACTTTAGCTATAATTATAAAAAAAAAAAAAAAAAAAAAAAAACCCATAGACCCCATTAACATTTCCTGAGGATTTATTGGGAAAATGCTGTCACAAGCCAAAGAAGATACGTGCCCTGCCTAAAAACCTCCTTCAAGCCATCGGATCAGCAGGCCTATGCTGCCTGCCAGATGTACTTTGAGCATACTCTCTAGGTTCTCACCTGCAGATCACTTTATCTGTCGCCACCCTGTGCTCGGGCTGGCATTGTCGTCCTGTACAGCAGGGGTTCTCAGCCTTCCCAGTGCTGCGATCCTTTAACACAGCTTCTCATGTTGTGGTGACCCCCAACCACAAAATTATTTTCATTGCTACTTCATAACTGTAATTTGCTACTACTATGAACCGTAGTGTAAATATCTGTGTTTTCAGGTGGTCTTAGCCAGCTCCTGGGAAAGGGTCATTTGACCCCCAAAGGGGTCATGACCCACACCTTGAGAATCACTGCTTCAGAGCTTAGCATAGAATGGAGGTTCTGAAAGTTTTAAGCAAATAGGAAACTAACAACCACGGAGAGAAATAATGGATCCTCTGCTGGTGAGCGAGCGAAGTATCACTACTTAGATGACAGAATCAATGAATCGCTGCATGAATAAACAAACGAATGGCGAATGAGCGAAAACTAAGTGAATAAATGAGCAAATGGGTGTGAAAGAAATAATTGGTTCTGAACGACAAGGAGTCTGCAGGTGCGTCAATACTCTGGCCAGCTTTATTTCTTGTTGCTGTTTAGACTAGGGCTATACCCATGGTTTCTACCCCTGCATTTCCCACCACACAGAAGAGTGGGCTTCACCCCAGAGAGTCCTAATACGCGACCCACTGACACCACCATGAAACCACAGCTACTTCTACCCCAAGCTCCCCACTCCATTCCAACCACAGCCAGCATCACTCACAGCTGAGCCGCACAGCCTCCTGGGCCACATCTGGGTCTCGGCAGAGGCGGGCGAGAGTCACCGCAGCTTTCTGCTGTACCCTTTCACAGGCTGCCACTTCGGCGGGAGTCCCAGACCTTGGTTTCTCGGACAGCATGCCCATGATGAGCTGGACACCTGGCCACGAAGCAACAAGCAATTTGGACAGTTTAGACTTGCTCCCAATGTAGAGCGAGGGGGGCTGGCTGGAGAGATAGAAGCGAAGCGCAAGCAAGAGCTTTGGGTAGAGGAGTCTCAAATAGAGGTGGGAGACAGATATGACCACCTCTTTCTTCTCATCTAGAGGGATGTGTCTGATTCTAGTCTTACACTGTGTTATGTGCGCAGTAAATGCTCAGTCCCCTCAGACTTCACAATGGTCTCATGGGCATGGCCATGGTAATTCTATTTTGATGTCCAGAGTAGGGTAAGCCCATTGTCCAGAGCACACAGTGCATGGGGGTGTTGGGTGGAACTTGGAAAACTGGGCCCATAACCTTGTCACCTCTGATAGGGCTGCATCTGAGATAGGTCACAGGTGCTGAGTCCCGTGGCTGGAGAAAGCACCAGAGCAAACGGATTCGCAATGGGGGTGCCAGACGGAGGCTGCATCTCCGTCTCCTCACTCAGGAGCCTCCTGTCTCCTCCCCAAACCAGATCTGTCTCCTGAGTGTTCTATAAGGAATACCCACATCCATGCCACTCGCCTACCTTTGCCACCCTTTCTGAGGGGAATGCCTCTTTGCCTCAAATATCTCCTGTCCTACAGGTTTACAGAAGAAACCCACCTTCTGTCTGAGCTGCCCTGACCCTCCACAATCTTAGCCCTGATCACCTGTTCCAGCTGGGAACTTAAACTAGACATAATCTAAAGATATGCTTTACTTTATTTTGTTGCTTCAAGAATTATATTGTACACCGGGCGATAGTGGTGCGCGCCTTTAATCCCAGCACTTGGGAGGCAGGGGCAGGCGGATCTCTGTAAGTTCGAGGCCAGCCTGGTCTACAGAGTGAGTGCCAGGACAGGCTCCAAAGCTACAGAGAAACCCTGTCTCGAAACACCCCCCCCCTCCAAAAAAAAGAATTATATTGTATAAAAGTTGATGATTTCCAAAAAAATCTAGATTTCTGATTTCTAACATTTATCTTCTGAATTGACAATAGTGACCCCCACATAAATTTCTATATGGCCAGAAGTTTATTGTTCTTGTTATTTTCTGCTTTTGCTTTTGTATTAAGACAAGGATGTGCTATGTCTCAGCTGAGGGTGGCCTAGAACTGATTAGGTAGCTGAGGCTGGCCTGGAACTGACTATGTAGCTGAAGCTGGCCAGGAACTGACTATGTAGCTGAGGCTGACCTGGAACTGACTATGTAGCTGAGGCTGGCCTGGACCTCCAATCCTCCCACTGCGGCCTCCTGAATCAGAGATTTGGGACATGTGCCTCCACACCTGACTGAAGCTAACTATTACTAATAAGATCAGACTAATCCTTATCCACCTCATCTATTTCACTCTCTGGACCCTGCAGGCATCTGCATATACAATCGATGACTTAGTAATGAGTTCTCAGAGCGCAGACTACCTAACAGGGTTTTCCTTATTGAGACCCAGGAGTCTCCTGGCTTCTAGTGGCCTCTGGGTATGTCACTGCCATTTGGATCCCCCAAATCCTGCTCTGCACTTACAAATACTGCCTTCCTCAAACTGTCTCTGTGAAATCCCATGAGACTGTCACTGGAAGAGATGCTAGGACTGGTTCAGAGCTCACCCTGGGCCAGATACTATGTGGACACTCTTCCTGGTTATCCTCACACACCCCTGAGAGCAGGCATCACTGTTCCCACTTTTCAGAGGGAAAAGAGAGGAGCCACACTGTTCACGAATAACAGCCACGGTTGCAGCCCACCAAGTATGGCTCCTGTGTTCATTCATGCTCTGCTACCCTCCTGCCGCCCTCTGTGGCTATGTTATTTTAGACATCACACTTCAGCCAGGGAAGGCCCTCATTCTGCACAGAAAGAAACTTTAGGACAAAAATGGGGGCTCTCTAAAGGCCCAGTCCTTGCTACCTAGCTCGATGCCAGGCCAAGGTAGGTTTCCACCAGTGTGGACTCAGTGAGAGAGTCAACAGCACTTTGTAAGCCCCAGAGTGGTCTCCAGATGGCAGCTATCCCAACCTCAAAGGCACAGGCAAGTGGCAGCCTGCTGTCAGCGGCCACTTGAGCCAAGACTCCAAGTGCCGAAGGAGGAGGGTACAAGTGACACCGCGCAGCCTCTCCTCTTGGCCTCAGCTGGCTCAGCACAGTTTCTCATTATTAGCTCAATCACATGAAATTAACACAAAATGGTGTGTTTCAATTAGTCGTGGGGAATGGGTAAGCACGTGTTTGTTAAGACGGCAGGGCAGCCTGGGGGAAGGGACTTTAGGAGAGCAGAGGTACCCAGGCTCCTGGCTCACTCTCATTAGTGTCTCAGGTCTCCAACAGCTTGCTAATTGCCCCCTTATCCCTCGGTCACAGGAAACCCTAGCCACCCAAGCTCTGCTCCCAGCTGCAAGGCGGCCACCTTGTCTTTTGACAGAGACTGCTGACATCAGCCTCCAGGCAGACAAGCCCAGTTCCAGCTCTCCTTGACCGTGGGCACATAAGGTAGAACAGAGGGCCAGTCGGAAGCGAGATTCCCGTGGAGGGTGTGGGGGCATCCCAGTTGTCCTCTCCTCCTCCTCTCCCTCACTCCTTTTCCTGCACACCAGCTTTCCATGGCTGCAATAAGGCGGGAACAAAGCAACACCTCCCCACTTTGGGACAACCTTACCTCCCTTACTAGTTTGTTTTGTCCTCATGTTACTATTACAACCTGGCATTATCTTTTCTATTTTCTAACTCCCACTAGAACTTATCTGCCAATGAAGGCAAATAAACATTTCACTTCTGACCAAGATATACACAGAATTCTCTCTCTCTCTCTCTCTCTCTCTCTCTCTCTCTCTCTCTCTCTCTGTGTGTGTGTGTGTGTGTGTGTGTGTGTGTTCATGAGTGCCATATTTGTGTATTTGTATATGTACATGCTCATATAGACATAGAAATGTACGTGCATATATATATATATATATATATATATGCACATAGGATTTATACAAGCCCAAGGGCATGTGACACCATATACTCTGATGGTCCACAGGGCATGCCCAGACATACCATTCTCCTGAATGATGTCAGAGGCACACTGCTCCAGCACAGACATGTTTGCCAAGATGGTCACAATCTGAAAATGAAATTGAGAAGCTATGAAATAGACATGTACATTTCCCATGGTACTCAATGAAGACAGGTCAGCTGGGAGCTGCAGAGCTTCCCTTTGGTCTGGCTCCTGTCCATCTTTCCATGGTATTGTCTTCTATTCTCATAGGCTCCTGCCACCCAGATGTAAGTCCCAGTGACTAGTGCCCATTAATCAGTGGGTGGCTCTGGGATGATTGTCTGGGGCACCCAGTAGACAACAGCCTCACACTGAATGAAGCTGAGGCCCAGTCATTTGAGTGCAGGAACCCTTTTAGCCTAACCCCTAAAATTTAGGCAAAATTGGCAGGTTTTGGGCCCCTTGATCCCTTCCATTCTGGCTTGATCTCCTGACTCTTTGATCCGCCTTTGACTGGGTTCACCTGTGTCAATGTCCTGACACTGCCCTTCAACGTGAGCTCTAGGCAGAGAGCATGCACAAAAGATAGATTCTGGTGAGAAGATTAACTTAGCCACACTTTACACGTCTATGGTATTCAAGCCTCAATTACAGATCACACAGGAGGACTTTGCCATTAATGATCGGATGCTGACATTCGATGAACATCCAGGATTGGTTGCAGTTTCTTAGGTTTTAACACACCCGTCTCCCACAGCATGATAAAGAGATCTCATGTCACAAAAATGGATTAAGGAATATCCAGCAAGAGACCAAAACTATAAATGGTATAAAAAATAAGAAATTAAAAGAAGTTAAGGATGGAAGTATGGGCACTATGACCAGAGATGCCTGCCATGCTGTTTCTAAAAGAAACCACACAAGGAAAATGTGCCTGTCTCCCCAGAAGCAGAGAGTATGCACAGATGGTGATTGAAATTAATAGTAAGCTAAAAAAAAAGTATTTCTCCCAGATGTGAGCCACTCCCCCAAGCAGCTTCTCACGTGCTGGTGGGGTGGTCTAAGCAGGAGCTGTGCTTCTGCCTCTGAGACGGTGAAGGGTAGTGTGCAGAGGGCAGTACAGGAGGCGTCCGTCAGTCCTGAGCATGGACGGACCAACAGCATTTGCCGAGAAAGAGCACCTGCTGGATCTTAGCTGGCTTGTGTTAGCATATCACTCTCCATAATAAACCACCTAAAAAAGCCCCCTTAAGCAGAAAGGAAAAGGTGTCATAATAATAGAATATCCACCTCCGCCTCCCTCTCAATACACGTTGACTATGGAGACAGTATCTCTGTGCACCATCTTCTCTCCACCAAGACTTGGTCAGGGGCTGCATTAAGTTGTGACTGCAGTGAGATGCTGGGGGAGGCAGGGAAACACCTCCGAAACCTTATTCTGAAGTCATCTGTAGTGCCCAGGGTTTCGTGAGAGGAGTGGTGAGTATATACTGAATGTTCTCCTATTTCAGAAGAGGAAGTATTTGTGGGCTCAGTGGAAGAAGGTAGAGAGAAAAGATAGGTTATAAATGCAGCCCTCAAGTGGAAGGTTCCCCAAGAGCCACGAAATGCAGTCATAAAAAGACATAAGGGGCCAAGTCTGTCAGCTTCAGTGCAGCTGGCTGTCTCTGGGCTGTTAATAAGAGCAGGGCACAGCCTTCTCACCACACAGAGGCTGCCTTGCTCCACCCATCACCAGACAGGCATTTCTGAATGCAGACTCTTGCTTGACCCGTACATTCATGAAAAAAAAAAAAAGAAGGAAGGAAGGAAGGAAGAGAAGGAATGAGGAAGGGAGGAAGTAAAATAAAACCTTTGTCTGCGGCAACGGCTTCATTATATGGCAATCATTAGCGGAGTCAGAGGCACCAGGTAGGTCTTTGTGTTAGACTAATTTAGATCCTGTTAATGAAAATTACTTCCTCCTTACAGAGCCTGTACCCCATGTGGTTTTCTGAGGTGCAGATGAAGTAATCAATTAAGCACAATTTGAATAAATGCCAATTATGCCCTGCTTGGAGTCTCCCTTTTGAAACCTACTTGTATGCACCATGATAGAGAGGGGCAAGATGCCAATGTTTTCACCTAGTAGTTAGCTCCCACCACTGCAGTTTTACCCGGCTGGAGGCAAGCCGGCAATGCTGTCAGGATATGGAATGCGGGAGTCAGGTCCACGGTTTCTCCTGGCCCAGGTTTATTCAACTGGTGTAAAATTAAGGCCTGTTTTTCCTGACCCTTCTATAGTTACCTGGTGAGCAAAGAGGACATTTGGCTTCAAGAAATCCCTACATGATAGGTAATGTAAGCTCAGATCCTGACTCCGTCTCTTGCTGTCCTCATGACTCTATCAATGGTACCCGGCCTTCTGCGACTTGGTTAATGAAAGAGTATATATTTCCTATTGCTGCTATAACAGATTACTGCAAACGTAGTAACTTAAAACAATTTTATTAACTTGCCATGCTGGAGGTCTGAAGTTCTAAACAGATCATATTTGATTGATGCGCGCACGCACACACACACACACACACACACACACACACACACACACACACATATTAATTCTCGGGGCTCCTGGGGAGAATCAGATGAACTGTAATATGTGTGACATGAACCTTCTCTCTCACCTGTGCTGGGCAGATAGTTTAGGGCTGCCAGGTTAAACGGCCTCAGACCTTGAACAATTGATTCAAGGAACACTAGCAATGTGATGACAGCCACATGAAGGGGCTGAGCTCTGCCTCATGCTTATGGATCAGATGTGAACTCTTGGCTACTGCTCCAGCACCATGCCTGCCTGCCTGCTACCACATTTTCAGCCTTGAAAGTCATGGACTCCAGCCCTCTGAAACTATAAGCCCTGAGGAAACTCTTTCTTTTATGGGTTGCCTCAGTCATGGTGTTTTACCACAGCGGTAGGAGACTAAGGCTGAGCCCTTCCCAGCTGGAAAACAACCAGTGCCTTCTATGGCATTCTAAAGTCGCCTTTCATTTGGCATACAAAGGCCTTAGGAAAATTGAAGTAGATAGCAAATTACTCCAGATCAGCAGGTACTCTCCAATGTCACTAATTCAAAAATAAACGTTTCTGATTGGTAAGAAGTGGGTTGGTCAAGTTTTCTGATAGCAGTACACACAGAGAAAGTAGTTTTCTTGGGCTCCCCTAGAGCAGGTGATCCAGAAATCCTGGCTTGCAGGCAGATATGAAGACTTGATCCAAGATGTGTAACCTCTTAGAACTCTCAGCAGTCACGTTGACCACACCCTGACTCCACAGCATCCCTCCTCACCTGCTGTGCTGGAGGATAGCCCTGAAGACTGCAGTGTGTGGAAGACAAGTGAAGTATGCCCAGAACACACAACAGAGACAAGTGGTCTCGCCTGACAGACCCTATGACACAGAACACCTAGTGTACAGCTAATGCGGAGTCATGGGTACTTCCATGTCACCCAGGGATTCAGACAAAAAAGCCAATGTTCACAAAACTGCAATTACCATTACTCTTCAAACTGAAGCTATCCAACAATATCAAATATGGCTCTGGAATCATCATCTTCATCCTCTTCTTCCTCTCTCTCTCTCTCCCCTATGACATACATGCTCATGTATATATATATATATATATATATATATATATATATATATATAACATAGAGCAATCATTCTCCACCAATGTATATTGAATTACCCTTGCTCTGAACCTAGGACTTGTCAGCTCAGTTAGGATGGAGCCAGTATGCTCCATGGACTCACTTGTCTCCTCCTTCCAGAACCAAAACTGCAGGTGTATGCTCCTTTGCCCAGCTTTTATGTGGGTTCTACACACTTGAATCAGGTTCTCATACTTGTGCAGCAAGCATTTTACCAACTGAACCATCTCCCAGTTTATAGTACTTTTCACCTTACACACACACACCCCACCCCCCACACCCACACACACCTTGCATGCGTTCACACATAACCTGAAGCCATACATGTCACCTATTACTTCACACCGTGCAATACTCCCCACTGCATTAACTGTATTTCCTAGCTCCATTCCTACCCTAAATTGGACATCTCCATCTAGACCCATTTCAATCTATCCTACGACATTTACCTACCCCAGTCACTACTGAGTACCCAAGTTGGTTCTAAATGCTTTAAAACACCGTCCCATTTAATCACATGACGGCTGGAAGAGAGGAGATCTGTTATTATCTCCATTACACAGATGAGAAAATTGTGGTTTAAGAGATTAAGAGCTTGGTCCGAGGTCACACAGTTAGGAACTAACAGAGATAGGATCTGAACCCAAGTGAACCTAAATTTGTGTCGTTTCTATGGCAGAGATTTATAAACTATGAAGGGCTTTTGAGACACAAGTCACTATTACAGTTTGCATTTTGTAATTTGCATTTCTGATAGATGGATTCCTGGTAAGGAGTGTTGACACCGAAGTTCCAGAAATGCTACAAAATACGTTCATTCTAAATTGCCAAACAGACTACGAATGTCTGTGGAAGTGTAGGCAGCACACTGCCTCTGTGAAGGCAGCTCACAGAAGGCTGGTAGCATTTCTATTTTCAGTACCCTCCATCCACTTCAGAGGCCAAGGACACTGCTTGCACAAGGCCTTAGAGGCTGCCCTTCCCTACCCTGTTGTGTCTGTGATTAGCCTCTGTACAACACCCCATGGGTGTGAAATCAAAGGACCATGAAAACTGCCGGTTGAACAGGGTTATCTTTTCCTTTATTAATTTTCTTTTTAAAGATAGGGTCTTAGGTTGGCTTCAACCCCTCTAAGTAGGTGACCTTGAACTTCCCATCCTCCTGCCTCTACTTCCCAAGGGTTGGAACTACAGGCATGTATCACTGTGCCCAGTTGTGGCAGTCAAATTCAAGGCTTTGTGGATGGTGGGCAAACATTCCACCAACTGCACTCCCTCCCCAGCCTAGGACCATCTTCTTGATGCCTGATATCCAGATATGACCTGTGTTCCTTTCTTCAAGATGAGCAGAAGTAGATGGAAATCCAAGACTGTACTCTGGGGTCTTTATCCAAGGGCGAGCATAGACAGAGCAGGTTTTGCCAGTGAGGAGTCTGCTTGACAAATGAAGTGGACTTGGCTTGCCTAGATGATGGAGGACTTCTCACTGTCCAAACAGAGGTTCACTGAGTACATACGTAGCCAAGACTAGGAGGCTTTGCACAGCATTGGCGTCACTGGCCTGCTCATTACCGGAAACCTCACAGGGCATTTAATTTCTTAAGTATTTCAGGGGGCGGTGAGCACTTCAGAGCCCAATTCATCTTCTTTGTCTTCATTGCAGAGAGCCCTCTGATCACCTTAATCCTCCCTCTGCCATAGCAAAGAGAGCCATTTGTTTCTTTAATGGGTTTGCTCTCTCTAGCTAAGTGGCTGCTCAGAGCCAGGGCAGAAGGCAAAGCTGGACAGTGGGAGATGGGCTCAGGAGAATAAAAAATATTCCCCCTGAACCAAGATGCAGGGAGATGTCCCTTTGCCTGCTGTTTAACCACATTCTCACTCCTATGAGGTACCCTCCGTGAGACCTCATGAGGGGGGCTGCCGAGTCATGGGCCATTCATGCTGGAAGCAACATCACATGCTACACACAAGGAGGCTACACTCAGCAGCTTCTCACTCAGTGCTGTGCACAGCGTTAGCCCCAATGGGGCATCTGCTCACTTAACAGCATCTTTGTCCTGGTCTACATTAAGAGTCTGTGTTCACTAGTCCTGATTCCTTGGTCGACTCTGTCTATAGAGATACACATTTTACAAATGAAGAAAGAATGAATTGCCCAAAGTAGCATGATTATTTACTGCAAAGATCTGCTGAATCCATATCACCTGTCTTCAAAGGCCTTGTTCATATTGTGTCCCTACTGGATCTCATCTGACATGAGCAGAGTAAGCCTAGCGTAGGGCACTTGAAGGTGAAGATGCTCAGTATCATGCCAGGTGGGAGAGAGGTTCGGGGGAGGTATCTAGCTAAAGGAGACACACAATGAAGGCCAACATGGGGTAGACACTCCAGCCTTGGGCCTATGACTAACACCTAGAATTACAATAGGCACTGGGCATCAGAAACCAGTCAATCAGGCAAACAGCTAGGCCTATGTGAACATGACCTCTTCCTGCTCGCACCCTGATTATTTGTGGGAAGTCTAGGCCTTCCTGGGCTTTTTACCTGGTCCCGAGTATAAGGTGTGTCCACTCTCTGTTTGTCACTGCAGGCTTCCAGGAGGACACGGATGGCATTCAACTGCAGAAGCATCTCACAGGCCATTTTGTCAAAGAAGGTGATGTTGGCAAGGGCCGCAGAGGCCAGCAAGAAGACTTCCCCCGATGAGGCCTCTTGGCACAATTCTGGATAGTGAAAAGGAAGAAACAGTTCAAGGCCAAGTGTTTGCACATGACTGATCTCCCTTGGCCCCTACGATAGCTCTGGGAAAGAGGCTATTTTGGTAGGAGTCTTGATACTCTTTTTGGAGATGAACAAATTAGTCACTATCGAGGGAACTATGCCATCTGCATAGGTAGCAGAGCTGGGATTGGAACCCTTGTGTGTGACTCCTGCTCACCCACAAGTATTTTAATGAGTGAACCCAAGGCGCCTGAATTTTTGGTATGGTCAAATGGACCAAACAGGTTACACCTTTGTCCCTGTGATACTTATTCTCTGTAGAAGGCAGTAGAAAGTGAGTCTTTAAGAGTGTCCATCCCTCCACTACCTAACACAGTTTCCTTGGCCCTCACAGAACCTGCAACAGATGCCCAGCTTGAGGCACAAGAGGCTCTGTCCATGGTGCTGTTTGTCCCAATGGCCCTTGCTTCTAAGTCTCAGTTCTAACTTGGGTCACCACAGGATGTGACAAGTCAAGCTCTGTCCCTCATGTAACACTTCTACAGAGACAAAGAAAGGAGGGACACACTCCAGAGAACATCTCCTGAAGAGGAAGGAAGTTCAAAGACAAAGATGAGCTAGGCCTGATGTTTGAGGGTTCTCACAGAGCAGCTGGCATCTTCACAGATGTTGTTATAGTTCCCCCCTAAAGTGGGATGGACAGGAGTACCAGCCAATCACCTGAGGTCTTCCTTGTGTTGTGCCACTGCCTTTTGGCCCATCCTCAAGGGAAAAAAATGATAGGTACAGATATGGAGGTTGAGTCTCATGGGAGCAGTCACAAGTACAATTTCTCGAGCATTTACCGTGGACCAGGAGCTGCTTTAAGTGCAGCCCTTTATCTTTGCAGTAATCCAATTTTGTTGTGGCCTCAAAAATTAAATACCTGATGTTGTGATTTGCTAAGATCTTATAGCCAGTGAGGGAAAACATCGAGGCTAGCCTGATTCCCAAATCCCTGTTCTTTCTATCCCTCACATTGCCTCTTCTCCCAGCCACTTGGCTCATTCTCTGTGATGCCCCCAAAGACATAGGTTCTATCAGTTCTATTGGGCAGTAATGCCTACTGCCTCTGGGGTTTTCTGTTCCTGTAGACCAGCCCAGATGTGACCAGCAAACATTTAGATCTCATCATCCAGGGCTTGGGCCACAGATTAGCCGAGTAATTAAAAGCTCTTCACAGCCAATGCTCCCCTCATCCCTGACTGGGGAGAATCACTGGGGGCCACTGACTCCTTCCAAGCTCACCTCTCTGTATATGGATGTTGGTATGGGACCACTCTCCTGCCGGAATTGTCCCTATGTATAAATGTCGCCCCTCTTCCTCCTGCACTTGCCAGTGATGCTGACACATCGATTATTAGCACAGCCATCTAAGTGCCTTTTAATTTTGCTGCACATTTATTTGAACTACAGTCTGAGTCACCTGGGATGTGTTAGGAAGATTAAATTGAGGATCCCAGTGACTCATTTTTAAATGTTTCCAGGGAACGGCAAGAAATTAGAGGGCCGTTTCCCACCAAAGAACAGAGCTCTGGCATCCCACCCAGAAGATATATCCCATCTGCTGACTCTGAGGGTGGGCTGGACAGTGCATCTTCATGGGGATGGGGGAAATACAAAGGCTTCTCCTCCTCTTTGTCCAGATAAATGCAGTCTGAACAAAGGAACAGGAATGGGCAGGTAACAAATGTAAAGAGCTGTTGGGTCTACACACTTTGCCTTGCTTATCATTTTGGAGGGCTTCTGTACAACTTGGCATTTATTTCTTATCTTAAAATGTGTCAGCCTTCCCCACAAGGCCGTAATCAACTGTGTTTCACCAAGCCTGTCCACACTTAGTCTGTGCATGTGTTCCTCAGCTCAATGCAGGTTCAAGAGCCTCTTGTTTTCTTCTTCCATCTAGCTCCCTCCAAGTCATTTCTTTCCTGCCAGGCCCTGGTGGGAGTTTGAGCATGAGACTCCTGGCATGGTGGATCCTAACAGAATTCTTGAGTCTCTCCCTTTCAAGTAGAGTAAGCCTGGGCTCTGTAGTTTCCTGTGCTCCCTCCAGCCAGGGTTTCTATGGATTCCATGTTTTATTGACTTTGGATCGATGTAGATGTCTGTCCCCACACCCATCTCTCCAAATCTGGCCTATAGGAGACCTGGCCAGGGTTGACAATAACTCTACATAACTGATACTCCTATATGCAAAGTTCTTTCTGGCAGTAAAATCCTAGAACCAGAAGGCTCCTTTAGAAAAGTTGGTTGCAGTCCCTCATCACATATAGAAGAAAAGTTGACAAGTGAAATTTACAAGATGTCATGGTAAGTGAGTGGCAGAATCACACACAACCCCACACAGGGTTGCTGGCCAGTAGCTGTTTGTTGATGGATAAGTGGAAAGCCAGAACCCAAGCTCAGCTGTTTTAACTCCTATCCCAGTGTCTTACACTTTCTCTAAATCCAGGCAACTGCAGATATTCTTAGACCTGGTGTGGCAACTCCAAGAATTAGTCCTAATTAATTTTCATCTTAAAATATAAAGACGAATATAGAGATGACAAAGGTATGCTATAGAGGAACAAAGGAATGAATGGAGGGAAAAAAGAGCTCTCCAAACAAGCTTCCTGGGCACTGTTACCCAGACTAGTCCTAGTTTCTGAAAAGGAAAGGCTAGGGAAAGAGAATATTCTAGATAGCATGAATCTCTCTCCTGCCAAGCCTGCAAAGGTCTAAATGGGGGAGCCAAGAAGAGTTAACATGTTTATGGCTCCATGATGCAAAGCCAAATGGTGGCATTTCCTGCGGCAGGTTGTGGCGAGCTAGTTCTCGCTGGAAAATCATTTGTGCTAATTAGTACTGTTTCAGTTATTGGGTGCAATGACCAAAATTTTAGGAACAAAACCTACTGAAGTCAAACTTTGAGTCCCTATTTGCTCTGAACTTTCTCTGAAAGGCCATGTGACCCCTAACTACTGTTCAAGTGGTGCTAAAGGAACTGTGTGTGTTTCCATAGGAGACTCTTGACTACAGCATTCCTCAAAACCACCTCATCCGTTAATGGTGACCTTTCAGCTAGTGTAACTATCATTGACTATTGTGAATTTGGTGAGAAGTAGGTGGGAAGTCCTTCCAGGTCCTTCTTGAAGACAACTGTGCTGAGTCCCTCTCACGCAAAGGTTCCACTCAACCCAGGATAACTCACTGATGAGGGCTGTCACAATCTCCTCCATGTTCTCCAGGAAGCTAGTAAGGTGCTGGGTGAAGGACAGATGTGGGGAGGTAACCTGGGCCACCACAGCTGCAGCCTCAGCTCTAGTGGCCTCGGAGTGGCTGTCATCAGTCAAGATGTCGGCCAAGCACAGGATACCATCCACCTGCAGATGGAGAGAAGAAATGTTCTTGTGTACCTTGAAAGGGATGGTACCATTTCTTATGACAGCAAATGAGGCAGAGCTAACTCCTATCATCCTACAAGTTCAAATTTCACTTCTGAGAACAGTCCACACCCCCTTGTGGAGCCAGAGAAAGGCTGAGGATGAATGACCTGAAGTTGGGCATTTAAGTGCCTCTGCTTTGAGCCCAGGAAGAATAAGTGACCTTCCATGGATTTTCTAGATAGCAGACAGTAAGCCAAGTGTCTAGGGACTGACCTTGGCCATGGATCACTGAAAAAATGCAGTAGAAACCATGGTTACTTAGTGATCTTCTGACCCTGAGCTCCAAGCCAGGCTCCATCCTTCATGCTGTGTGACTTCACATCCCTGACCCTGTTCCCTCACACAGCAGCAGGGTATGGGAGGTCAAGAGATGGTAAAATGAGCGAAGCCTTATAAAGAAGACAAGATCAAGAAGGTGGGTTCCTCCTCCCGTCTTCACCCTTTGCAGAAGGCTGAGCTCAGAGCTTTCCTTTCCCATCTTGTCCTCCACCATCTTGTCCTCCACTGTGTTCCCCATAGAAAGAGTGCCGCTTCCATGGAAACCTTACTACCTCTGCCCAATCAGAGAAGTAAAAGTCTCATGGGACATACATGCCAGCAAAAGGCTTGTTCCCCAGCCCCACCCCAGCCAGACCCGCTCTTGGCACAGTAATAGGAGACACTTTCAGAGTGCCCATGGTGTGCCTGCGCCAAGTTCCATGCTTAGTAGACTGTGTATGTCATTGTATCACTGCAGCAACCTTCCCATGGTCACGGGAAGAAAAACTTAGAAAAGATTGCCCACCTGCCGTGGATCCTTAACTCTCAAATTCATGGGTTTGGGACTTAAACTGAATAGTCTGCTCTACAGTGCCTGGGTTCTAAAAAGGATGTTAAACTTTCCCCTTGGAAGTCACATCTGAGTTTAAAACTCCCCCTCCATCAGGGTCTCCTTTAGGCAGAAGGAGTCGAGTCTTGCCACAGATAGACCATCGGTGCTCCTGCAGGTCCTCCCGGGTCTAGGATGCTAAGCTGCTGAGGACCAGTGCTGGAGGTGGGGCAGGGGCCAGGGAAGAATAGGAAAAGGCCTTGGCTGATGCCCACCACATCTGCTACTGACGTAAATCTCTGGTCTCTGTGTCCTTACTTCTTGCTATTAGCTCCAGCGGCCCCCAGAGCTCACCTTTCATTTGATCAGTGAGTCACCAACCTCCAGTCCTGCACCTCCCTTAAACGACTCTCAGAACCTGAAAGGCCCATTAGCTGTGAGGGCCAGTGGCAGTTTCAGGCTCAAAGGAGACAAATGTGGAAACGAGAGCCCTGGGAATAGTCCACAGTCAGCCCCACCTGGATGTGCCTAATAAAAGGAACAAACAGCAGTCAGCCTGCCCCTGGCAGGCCTGGACTCAAGCCAGGTATTTTATTAACAGGCCCTTGGAGAGGGACCTCGTTTGAGCCCACAGGGCAGCTGCCGGCCTGGAAACAGGAAGGAAGCTCTCCATTGACTGGCTCACGCTCCTTCTCCTCCTTCGAGCATCAATCAAGAGGGTTGCTATGAAGCATGAGGTCCCTAATGTGAAAATATCTTCATCGATCCAGTGCCCTTATACGTGCCTTGACTGTAGCTTCCACTGCTACCCTGGTCTCTGGCTCGGTTGTAAACCCAGCCAGACTCAAATGAGTATGCAGCCCTGATGCTCAGCCCAATCCGAGCTGATGGTCCCAGGACCCATTGAAACCCAAAACCCAAATATGAACCCCTCTCCCTAGGCCAGAAGTAAGTCTGCGGCCTGCATAAGCAAAGACCAAGTACCAGGCCTGGGGCTGCAGAAACAATGATCAAGGAGAGAGTGCCCCTGTGGAAGAGGAAGTGACTCTCACCACAGGTAACCACCATGCAGAGTGATTTCCCAAAAGAAACTCTACACCTTCTGGAAGCCACCCTTGACTTAACACACCCACAATTCAGCTTGGGAAGATGGCTCAGTCTGGGTTCCCATGCTCAAGTACTTCTGCTACCTTCATTATATTATAATGCTAAAGAACATTGTTTCTCCAAGTGGGATTATGGTTGCATCCAATTAACTGTGGGTTACTTAGAAGAGACTCCCTGTACCCCCCAAATCTCTCCTACCATATTCATAGTTAGGCCAAGAGTCAGCTTGGCAACAGCTCCACAGTGAACTTGCATGCTGCTCCAGCATTAAGAGCACACAATGAAAGGATTATAGGATCCCATGTCTACCTGGACCCCTGCCTGTAAGCATGGGGACCACAGCTAGATCAGTTTAAGATGCTCGATGTCAGGCATGAGTTGGGCTTTTGGGAGATGGGGAACAAACCCAAGAAACTAATATTTGACCTGAAACTTGAGGATACATTGTAGATTTATGCAAGTAGAATGATAACATTGTCAAGAGGAGGAGGCTATCAGCAAAGACTCAGAAAGGACAGCATTGGACAGAAGTCAACTCAGCATCAGTTCCCCAGATCTTTGGCCCCAGGTGATGCAGATCTGATGCCCTTGCTGCTCCTGGGTTTCTCAGAGGACCTGTGGGGTCCTGGATATTCAAGTGAACAGCTCCCCATTGTCTTGACTTCTGATATGTTGACTATGTTTCAGATTGCCTCTGAATCATTAAATACATCATTCCTTCAACACAGATCACATGACAGAAAATATTACAAAGATAGTAGCATACACACACACATATATACACTCATAAAATCACCCATGTAAGGAATATAGAACATAAGCTTATTTGTTTACAGTTGAATACATAGACTATGTAAATGTATAAAGGGTTACGTGGTTTATAATGGATCCCAATAATTAAATGAAAAACAATGGCAAGATCTATGGATGCCAGATATTCAGAAATTCTAAATCTTAGAAAGGACATTAAGCTAAGGCCTCTTCTTCATCCTCTCTCTGATCAACTACCACTGAAAAACCTCACCCTGGGTCCTGTGTTGTTTCTGTTCTTGTTTGCATTAGATCTCTGCCTAATAAACTAAGCTCTGTGGGTTTTACAAGTGATGTAAATGGTGCTATAGTCTAGAAAGGGATTTTCTTTCTCCCCTAGGCACCCCTGTGTTTATGAAACTCATTCCTGTCATGTGTGTCTGTGGCTCAACTGTTTTCACAGCTGTATGTACTTGCACTGTGCCAATCTATCGCAATTCATGTATGCATTCTCCCGACGATGGTCACTTGAATGAATGTCTTTTGGGCTTTGCTATTCTGAACAGTGCTGTTACAAATATTCTTCTAAATATCTTCTGGGCATGTGCCAGTTTCCTTGAGAGTCTTGACATACGAATGTCCAGGCCACATCTCTACCAATACTGCTAATTTGCTTTGTCATATTGTTGTAGCAAGTGATACTATAGAAAAATATTTAGTGTTGTATCCTTCTCTGGTTTTCATATTATGTTTATAATTTTTAGTAATTTGATGGTTTGGATGAGCAGTGTTCCTAGTGGGCACTTCGTCTCTAGTTGATGGTGCTGTTTGGGGTGGTTATGGAACTTTCAGGAGATGTGGCCTTGCTGGAGGAGTTACATCACTGTGGAAGGGCTTTGAGTGATTATAGTCTCACCTGCTTCCTCCTCTCTTTGCTTCCTGTGTGTAGATAAAACGTGATCAGCCAGCTTCATGTTCTGGCTACCTGCTGCCATGCCTTGCCCACCACTATGGACCCTCCCTATAGAACTGTAAAATAAACACATTTTTCTTTAAGTTTCTTTAGCCATGGTGGTTTTTTATCACTGCAACAGAAAAGAAGCTAATAAAGATGAACCATAAAACTGAATTTTTAACTTGTGTATAGCAAGATTATTAATCATCTTGGTTTGCTTTGGTGTGGTTTACTTGAGCTTTTTTGTTTGGTAAGTTGGGGAGCCCTGTTCATATGTCTTGCTTGTTTTTCTATTTGGTGGCTTTTTGTAGGGACCGGGTTTCCTTGGCCCTTGGTTCTGAGGCTGTTGCTTTCCCCCAGCCTGTCACTAGCAGGCTGCCACACAAATTCTTCTTCATACACACCACCAACTCCAAGCTTCAACCCAGCCCAACTCACCACGACTCATCACCCAGGGCCATGAGCCAATGGGTTATGATCTTTTTAGCACTTACATCCATCCCTAGAATAACAGAATGTGCAGGCTTGGGGCCAGACCTAGTAATCTGAACCTGGCTGTCTCTTACTGCCTAAACAATGTTCTTACCTCTTTGAGACTTTATCCTAAAATTTAGGGCATTAATGCCAATATCCGTAGTTTTCCTTTTCCTTACAAAATGGGTATTTAAAATATCAACTGGAAAAGAATATTGACATTATTCAATGAGAGACTGCATGAGTAGTGCCCGCCACATGGTGGAGCCATTGCTCCATCCTATCCCCAACTGGGGCGGCTTGCAGTGATCTCCTGAGGCCTGCAGTCTCTCTCCTCAATTCCCTGTGCTTCAGACTCCTAATAGAGCTTCCCTCCAAGGTCCCTTTCTGCAGTCTCCTCCAAAAGTGAGAAGCTCAGCCCTCTGGGTAATGCATCAGTTGGATTTCCTCCATGGTGACAAAAATCCTTGAGGAAATCACCTCATCAGGGGGTCAGGTTTATTGGGGCTCCTGGTTTCAGTAGTTTCATGACCTTTATTGCTTGGCCTCTTTTTTTTGGGGGGGGGGATCAGGACAAATCAGTCCACCATGGTGGGAGCATGTTACAAAGAGGCCTGTCACCTTACGGCAGCCAACTGGTAACCAAAGTGAAGAAGCAGGGTTCCAATGTCCTGGCTTCCTTTCATTAATCCTTACCTTCCAGTGGTTCTCCCACCTCCCAGTAGTACCACAGGTCTGCATCCAGGCTTCTAGCATCATCAAGGAGGCATTTAGACACAAACCATAGCAGGTGCCGGGGATCCACAAGTTGATCATCTTTGTGTGATGTATGATCACACAATC